GCCCGAAAAATAGGTTTTTTAGAAATTTGATCGCACAAAATTCGCACCTTCGGATGAGTATTACTCTGAAGCTGTGCATACTACATACACAAAATACATATCAAATTACGCAGATTCGCGACTACAATAATCTTATAATCGATTTGTATAACTTCCTGTTTGCGTATTAAAGCTAGAAGTAAAATTAAAAAAACCCTCAAAATCGAGCTTCAAAATGTCAGCATCATTTAAAGGTAGATGCAGTGAAAATTTTGAAAAATGATACATAAGGGGCGAAGTCCCCATTTTGTTGGCTTCTAGTTTTATTTTGACACGAAGACCGTGCAATGACTGGCGTAGTCACAAATCGAAAGAGAACATAAAAAAACTGGTTCGCCTCAACGTGTTTTTACACACTTTTTTACATTAAAGTAGACACAGCTTCCACCAAAATAAAGTTTGGAGGTCAATATCATGAACAGTTTACAACGACAGATCAATTAACCCAAAACTATTCACTTTTGTTCATATACTTAAGTAGTTCCCGAGTTATAAAGGGGTGAACCTCCGCTTCAGCTATGTTAAAAAATTGGCAATATTGCCCATATATATATATTTCATATGGAAATCGTGAATACTGTATAATTTGTTGTACTATAGTTCTGAATTCCACCTGTATTCCTACATCTAATATCAAGTTTATTATCATTCAGTACTCTTCATACACATAATATTTTCCGAAATCTCTTTTTTTATTTTATTACACAGATTAAAAATAGATCAGATTTTATCAAATACGTACAGGTTCCACATTTAGTTTCAGTTAACACTTTTCGAACACATAAGTGCACATTTTTAAGACTACCTCTATACCATCACCACCACTAAATTTAGTGGTAGAAGTACCCCTTGGTACTTCTTTCTAACTCTCCGTCAGTGACCCACATTCAAAATTTTAGGTTTCCAGCTCTCTCCGTTCCAAATTTAGTGCATTTTCTATTCTATTTACTATTCGTACACATAAATATTATTTTCCAAAGTTGTCGCCATAACTCAATACTATACCTTAACAATAATCTAAATTCCAAATCTCTGGGTTCAACCAAAATCCAAATTTAGTACCGTTTAGTACTTTTCATACTCCTAAGTAGGAATTTCTAAAACTACATCAATCGTACACTCTAACAGTAATCTTAATTCGACCAAATTGTACCAAATTTAGTACTATTCGTACTCATAACTACAAATTTCCAAATGTACATCAATCCTGCTTTCAAATAGTAATCGTAAGTCCAAATTTAAGAATTCCAGCTCTGTCTCTTTATTAAAAAACAAATTTTACCCATATTCCAAACCTACCTCAATATTTCAAAACTGCTTTCAAAAAGCAAACGTATGTTCAAATTTAAGAACCAAAAAATTTAAGACCAATAAATGTGTGCGTAACTCCTAATATTTCTATGTATATTTCCAAATATTAAATAAATGCTTTGTAAATCGTCATGTGGTATAAAAATTCATTGCAAGTGTTTAGTTGCTAATTTATACACAGTCCAAGCGATACAACTACATCTGCATTATGTCCATTGATGGTGGTGGTGTGTTAAATGAATATTAAATAGGAAATTACCAGATGATAAATGTATATCAGATAAATTGATTATTCAGCATTTGCATAAATGACCCAAAGAAAAACAATTTTGGTAGCAAATCATAAATAATATTTTTCAAATAAAATTAACATTATTTTGAGGGGAAGAAAAAAATTGAATATAATTAGTAAAATTTTTAAGGGAAAATTAAAAAAAAACTGTTTTATTTTTCAATACAATATAGATACAGTGCATTACTCTCCTCGATAATATCTTAATGGAGTGGGGGTGGAATGAGTACTGCACGGAGGATGTTTGTTTTATTCCTTGGCACCGGAAATTAATGAACCAAAAAAACGTAAAATCAATTTTCGAAAATGGCAGCAGACGACAATGTCAAAAATGTGTGTATGCCTGTCATACATGAAATACTCCAGAAAAAATGGAAACAAACGAACGAAATGAACAACATTAACACAACGTTAAGTAGGTAGACACACTCGGCGAATGATAATCAAGGCAGCAACGACAACACCAATACCACCACCACTATAATCAATGATGAGATGATGTTGTCTTTTAAAGTTGGCTTTTTGCTGCTGCCGCTGTTGATGTAACAACACTCTTTCGTGCTACCTCAATTTTTGGGTGGGAGTTCCACTATGTGTTTTTGTCTGTTCAACAAGGATTGTTTCCTCGTATCAACCAGCCAGCCAAATGTTGTTCGCTCTGCTACAGGCAAATGTCATGTTCAATTGCTTACAACATTAACTTTTCGTTCAGCAACATATTTCAAAGTGTGTCCCCAAACTGTCTGTCTTGTTGCCGCCGTTTATTCGTTCGTTCGTTTGTTCATTCATTCTGTCTATCGGATTGACGAACGGTGTTGCCTTGTGATATCGTCTGCTACTGCTGATGATGTTATTTTCCATTTGTCGCCAAAAAATTAACAACAATTTTGTTTCGGGCTGTTGTTATTTTGTTTGGCCTTAATATGCCTTATTTGAGATATGGTATGGAAACCCCTAGTCACTTGTAGAAACGCAATATGATTACTTACATATTCGTCGAACTTGAGGGGTTCTCAAAAATAATACTAATAACGCGGCTAAAGTCTTGGAGTTTTTTCCGAAGGACCAAATAGGACGATAACCGTGGATTTTCTTAAAAGGAGCACATATGACTATAGGCACTTTGGTCCTTAATTTTTTTTTTTAAAATCCACCCTAATATCCACGTTGGTCCTGCGTTAAAATTATTTTAAAGTTTACACAAATATCCATTGATCCTAAAAAATCTTTGAAAAATCCACCAAAAACTCCACGTTGGTGATTCAAAAAAAATCTTAAAAAATCGAAGCCTCCATTTCGGTTGGTCCTTCAGAAAAAATGTTTTAACATATTCAGAAGTCTTGCTCTAAAGATTAGAAAATTCTTAAATATCCTCATCTGCATTCCTGCTGTTCTAAAAACATTTAAGTCTGCAGGTTTTACAAGGCAATTTTTCTGAAGGTCCTATAATATATTTTTTTAATAATTTTTCTGAAGGATCGAAATACCAAAGGCGTGGATTTTTAAATATTTTTTCTGAAGGATCGAAAATGGCAAAGGCGTGGACTTTTAAATATTTTTTCTGAGGGATCGAAAATGGCAAAGGCGTGGATTTTTAAAATATTTTTCTGAAGGATCGAAAATGCCAAAGGCGAGGGATTTTAAAAAATTTTCAGAAGGATCGAAAATGCCAAATGCGCGAATTTTAAAAAAATTTTCTGCGTGGATTTTTAAATAATTTTTCTGAAGGATCAAAAATGCCAAAGGCGTGGATTTTTAAATAATTTTTCTGAAGGATCAAAAATGCCAAAGGCGTGGATTTTTAAATAATTTTTCTGAAGGATCAAAAATGCCAAAGGCGTGGATTTTTAAATAATTTTTCTGAAGGATCAAAAATGCCAAAGGCGTGGATTTTTAAATAATTTTTCTTAAGGATCAAAAATGCCTAAGGCGTGGATTTTTAAAATATTTTTCTGAAGGATCAATAATGCCAAAGACGTGGATTTTTAAATAATTTTTCTGAAGGATCAATAATGCCAAAGGCGTGGATTTTTAAATAATTTTTCTGAAGGATCAATAATGCCAAAGGCGTGGATTTTTAAATAATTTTTCTGAAGGATCAATAATGCCAAAGGCGTGGATTTTTAAATAATTTTTCTGAAGGTTCGAAAATGCCAAAGGCGTGGATTTTTAAATAATTTTTGTGAATGAACGAAAATGCCAAAGGCGCCGATTTTTAAATAATTTTTGTGAATGATCGAAAATGCCAAAGTCGTGGATTTTTAAATAATTTTTCTCAAGGATCGAAAATGCCAAAGGCGTGGATTTTTAAATAATTTTTCTGAAGGATCCAAAATTCCAAAGGGGTGGATTTTTAAATAATCTTTCTGAAGGATTGAAAATGCCAAATGTGTGGATTTTAAGTAATTTTTCTGAAGGATCGAATATGCCAAAGCCGTGGATTTTTGAATAACTTTTCTGAAGGGTAGAATATGCCAACGGCGTGGATTTTTAAATAATTTTTCTGAAGGATCGAAAATGCCAAAGGCATGGATTTTTAAATAATTCTGCTGAAGGATCGAAAAAGCCAAAAGCGTGGATTTTTAAATAATTTTTCTGAAGGATCGAAAATGCCAAAGACGTGGATTTTTAAATAATTTTTCTGAAGGATCGAAAATGTCAAAGGCGTGGATTTTTGAAAAATTTTTCTCAAGGACCTAAAAGACAAGAGATGATTTTTAAATACTTTTTCTCAAGGACCTACAAGACAAGATGAGAGGATTTTAAATAATTTTTCTTTATGAGAGGATTTTTAAAGAAAGGTTTTTTCTGAAGGATCTGCAAGACAAGAGGCGTGAATTTTTCTAAAGGACCTACAAGGCAAAAGGTGTGGATTTTAAATAAATTTTCTCAAGGACTAACATGGCAAGATGCGTGGATTTTTAAAGAATTTTTCCCAAGGTGAATTCTTACAGAACGTTTCTCGTGGACTTTCAAGACAAGAGGCGTGGCTCTGTAAAAAATTTTTCTCAAGGACCTATAAGACAAAAGGCGTGAATGTGTAAAGAAAATTTATTGAGGACTTTCAAGACAGAGGCGTGGGTTTTTGAGGATTTTTTCGAATGAACCAACAAGGCAGAGGCTTGGGTTTTTAAATAATTTTTCGAATGAACCAACAAGGCAAAAAATACCAGCAAAATAAGTGGGTGGCATTTTCAAAGGACTCTTCTAAAGCGCCAACACATTACAATATATCTACGTACAACCAAAAACCATCCTGACACGTGATGAAAAATTAACATTCCAATATCAATATCTAACTCCATAAACTCAATACATACATACCCATATACGAGTATCATTCTCCTACATAATAAAGATGTCATAATTATTTTCCATCTCTCGCTCTTTGTTTCCAGGTGTATTATTTATATCTTTACATTGGTAGTATGATATTCCTACTCTTTATGTACGCAACACTGCTATGGGGAAGACCAAAAATTCCAACCAATATAGGTAAAAACACATACCTACAAAAATATAAGTCCTGTTTAAAATTAATATTTCCCCTCCTTAAATTCCAGCTTCACCCACAAAACTCTCAGCCAAGACTCGGTCAACAAGTGCATCAGAAACTATGGATGAATCAGATACGGATAGCACCTCAACAGATCGTAATAAACGTATGCCACCGGCTATATCATCGGCGAGACGACCCTCTATATTATCGCCATTGGGGCGACAACATCATTACGGTAGCTTCTATTTGCGTATGGGTGCCGTAGGTAAGTGAAGTAAATGTTCAGCGAGTGTGTTTTTTTTTGTTTTTGTATTTTTTTCCTTTCTGCAACTATTGTTCGGGAGTTGACAAAAGATTTATGAATGCTGTAGTAATAAATTTTATGGTAAAACACAAAGTTTTCAATTGTTTTGTGGTGTGGGATGCGGGATGCGGGATGCTTTTAAATGGCATAGAAAAATAGTTTTGTAATGGATATGTTTTTTTTCTTGTAATGTGGGTTTTTAATGGGTTTCACATACATACAAATATTATTTGTATATTCGAACAAAAAGGAATGATATATTAAATGAGAGTGAGTTATATTTCCTTGTATAAAGTTGGGTCATAAGGAAGAATTTATAGAGGTCCGTCATAGCTATAGGAAGGGAGTTTAGGGCTATTTATTCGAGGGAAATCGAGACGAAGAAAATCGAGAAAGATCAAGGATTATTGAGCACTAATTTTTCAATTTTTTTTTTAATTTTTCAAGGGAAATCAAGGCTGTAGGTGTGGAATCTTAGGACTAATTTTTCAAGGGAAATCAAGGCTATAGGCGCGGATTATTAAGGACTAATATTTTCAAGGGAAATCAAGGCTATAGGCGTGGATTATTAAGGACTAATATTTTCAAGGGATATCAAGGCTATAGGCGTGGATTATTAAGGACTAATTTTTCAAGGGAAATCAAGGCTATAGGCGTGGATTATTAAGGACTAATTTTTCAAGGGAAATCAAGGCTATAGGCGTGGTTTATTAAGGACTTATTTTTCAAGGAAAATCAAGGCTATAGGTGTGGATTATTAAGAACTATTTTTTCAAGGGAAATCAAGGCTATAGGCGTGGTTTCTTAAGGACTAATTTTTCAAGGGAAGTCAAGGCTATAGGCGTGGGTTATTAAAGACTAATTTTTCAAGGGCAATCAATGCTATTGGCGTGGATATTAAGGACTAATTTTTCAAGGGCAATCAATGCTATTGGCGTGGATATTAAGGACTAATTTTTCAAGGGCAATCAATGCTATTGGCGTGGATATTAAGGACTAATTTTTCAAGGGCAATCAACGCTATTGGCGTGGATTGTTAATGACTAATTTTTCAAGGGAAATCAAGGCTATAGGCGTGGATTATTAAGGACTAATTTTTCAAGGGAAATCAAGGCTGTAGGCGTGGATTATTAAGAATTAAATTTTTCAAGGGAAATCAAGGCTGTAGGCGTGGATTATTAAGAATTAAATTTTTCAAGGGAAATCAAGGCTGTAGGCGTGGATTATTAAGGACTAATTTTTCAAGGGAAATCAAGGCTATAGGCGTGGATTATTAAGGGCTAATTTTTCAAGGGAAATCAAGGCTATAGGCGTGGATTATTAAGAACTCATTTTCAAGGGAAATCAAGGCTATAGGCGTGGATTATTAAGAACTCATTTTTAAGGGAAATCAAGGCTATCGGTGTGGATTATTAAGAACTAATTTTTCAAGGGAAATCAAGGCTATAGGTGTGAATTATTTAGGACTAATTTTGCAAGGGAAATCAAGGCTATAGGCGTGGATTATTAAGGACTAATTTTTCAAGGGAAATCAAGGCTATAGGCGTGGTTTATTAAGGACTTATTTTTCAAGGAAAATCAAGGCTATAGGTGTGGATTATTAAGAACTATTTTTTCAAGGGAAATCAAGGCTATAGGCGTGGTTTCTTAAATTTTTCAAGGGAAGTCAAGGCTATAGGCGTGGGTTATTAAAGACTAATTTTTCAAGGGCAATCAATGCTATTGGCGTGGATATTAAGGACTAATTTTTCAAGGGCAATCAATGCTATTGGCGTGGATATTAAGGACTAATTTTTCAAGGGCAATCAATGCTATTGGCGTGGATATTAAGGACTAATTTTTCAAGGGCAATCAATGCTATTGGCGTGGATTGTTAATGACTAATTTTTCAAGGGAAATCAAGGCTATAGGCGTGGATTATTAAGGACTAATTTTTCAAGGGAAATCAAGGCTGTAGGCGTGGATTATTAAGAATTAAATTTTTCAAGGGAAATCAAGGCTGTAGGCGTGGGATTATTTTTCAAGGGAAATAAGGCGTGGAATTAAATTTTTCAAGGGAAATCAAGGCTGTAGGCGTGGATTATTAAGGACTAATTTTTCAAGGGAAATCAAGGCTATAGGCGTGGATTATTAAGGACTAATTTTTCAAGGGAAATCAAGGCTATAGGCGTGGATTCAAAGCTATTATTCAAGGCTAAGGCGTGGGAGGCGTGGATCATTAAGGACTAATTTTTCAAGGGAAATCAAGGCTAAAGGCGTGGATTATTAAGGACTAATTTTTCAAGGGAAATCAAGGCTATAGGCGTGGATTATTAAGGACTTATTTTTCATGGGAAATCAAGGCTATAGGCGGCGTTTATTCAGGACTTATTTTTCAAGGGAAATCAAGGCTATAGGCGTGGATTATTAAGGACTAATTTTTCAAGGGAAATCAAGGCTATAGGCGTGGATTATTAAGGACTAATTTTTCAAGTGAAATCAAGGCTGTAGGCGTGGATTATTAAGAATTAAATTTTTCAAGGGAAATCAAGGCTATAGGCGTGGATTATTAAGGACTAAGTTTTCAAGGGAAATCAAGGCTATAGGCATGGATTATTAAGGACTAGTTTTTCAAGGGAAATCAAGGCTATAGGCATGGATTATTTAGGACTAGTTTTTCAAGGGAAATCAAAGCTATTGGCGTGGATTATTAAGGACTAAGTTTTCAAAGGGAAATCAAGGCTATAGGGGTGGTTTATTAAGGACTAATTGTTCAAGGGAAATCATGGCTATAGGTGTGGATTATTAGGGACTAATTTTTCAAGGGAAATCAAAGCTATAGGCGTGGGTTATTAAGGACTAATTTTTCAAGGGAAATCAAGGCTATAGGCGTGGATCATTGAGAACTAATTTTTCAAGGGAAATCAAGGCTATAGGCGTGAATTATTAAGGACTAATTTTTCAAGGGAAATCAAGGCTATAGGCGTGGATTATTAAGGACTAATTTTTCAAGGGAAATCAAGGCTATAGGCGTGGATTATTAAGGACTAATTTTTCAAGGGAAATCATGGCTATAGGTGTCGATTATTATGGACTAATTTTTCAAGGGAAATCAAGGCTATAGGTGTGGATTATTAAGGACTAATTTTTCAAGGGAAATCAAGGCTATAGGCGTGGATTATTAAGGACTCATTTTTCAAGGGAAATCAAGGCTATAGGCGTGGATTATTAAGGACTCATTTTTCAAGGGAAATCAAGGCTATATGCGTGGATTATTAAATACTAATTTTTCAAGGGAAATCAAGGCTGTAGGCGTGGATTATTAAGGACTAATTTTTCAAGGGAAATCAAGGCTATAGGCGTGGATTATTAAGGGCTAATTTTTCAAGGGAAATCAAGGCTATAGGCGTGGGTTATTAAGAACTCATTTTCAAGGGAAATCAAGGCTATAGGCGTGGATTATGAAGAACTCATTTTTAAGGGAAATCAAGGCTATAGGCGTGGATTATTAAGAACTCATTTTTAAGGGAAATCAAGGCTATAGGCGTGAATTATTAAGGACTAATTTTTCACTGGAAATCAAGGCTATAGGCGTGGATTATTAAGGACTAATTTATCAAGGGAAATCAAGGCTATAGGCGTGGATTATTAAGGGCTAATTTTTCAAGGGAAATCAAGGCTATAGGTGTGAATTATTAAGGACTAATTTTGCAAGGGAAATCAAGGCTATAGGCGTGGATTATTAAGGACTAATTTTTCAAGGGAAATCAAGGCTGTAGGCGTGGATTATTAATAGGTCTGGATTATTAAAAACTAAATTTTCTAGGGAAATCAAGGCTGTAGGCGTGAATTATTAAGGAATAATTTTTCAAGGGAAATCAAGGCTATAGGCGCGGATTATTAAGGACTAATTTTTGAAGGGAAATTAAGGCTATAGGCGTGTATTATTAAGGACTAATTTTTTAAGGACTAATTTTTCAAGGGAAATAAAGGATATAGGCGTGGATTAATAAGGACTAATTTTTCAAGGGAAATCAAAGCTATACGCGTGGATTATTAAGGACTAATTTATCAAGGGAAATCAAGGCTATAGGCGTGGATTATTAAGGGCTAATTTTTCAAGGGAAATCAAGGCTATAGGTGTGAATTATTAAGGACTAATTTTGCAAGGGAAATCAAGGCTATAGGCGTGGATTATTAAGGACTAATTTTTCAAGGGAAATCAAGCTGTAGGCGTGGATTATTAATAGGTCTGGATTATTAAAAACTAAATTTTCTAGGGAAATCAAGGCTGTAGGCGTGAATTATTAAGGAATAATTTTTCAAGGGAAATCAAGGCTATAGGCGCGGATTATTAAGGACTAATTTATGAAGGGAAATTAAGGCTATAGGCGTGGATTATTAAGGACTAATTTTTTAAGGACTAATTTTTCAAGGGAAATAAAGGACATAGGCGTGGATTAATAAGGACTAATTTTTCAAGGGAAATCAAAGCTATACGCGTGGATTATTAAGGACTAATTTATCAAGGGAAATCAAGGCTATAGGCGTGGATTATTAAGGGCTAATTTTTCAAGGGAAATCAAGGCTATAGGCGTGGATCATTAAGGACTAATTTTTCAAGGGAAATCAAGGCTAAAGGCGTGGATTATTAAGGACTAATTTTTCAAGGGAAATCAAGGCTATAGGCGTGGATTATTAAGGACTTATTTTTCATGGGAAATCAAGGCTATAGGCGCGGTTTATTAAGGACTTATTTTTCAAGGGAAATCAAGGCTATAGGCGTGGATTATTAAGGACTAATTTTTCAAGGGAAATCAAGGCTATAGGCGTGGATTATTAAGGACTAATTTTTCAAGGGAAATCAAGGCTATAGGCGTGGATTATTAAGGACTATTTTTTCAAGGGAAATCAAGGCTGTAGGCGTGGATTATTAAGAATTAAATTTTTCAAGGGAAATCAAGGCTGTAGGCGTGGATTATTAAGAATTAAATTTTTCAAGGGAAATCAAGGCTATAGGCGTGGATTATTAAGGACTAATTTTTCAAAGGAAATCAAGACTATAGGCGTGGATTATTAAGGACTAGTTTTTCAAGGGAAATCAAAGCTATTGGCGTGGATTATTAAGGACTAAGTTTTCAAGGGAAATCAAAGCTATTGGCGTGGATTATTAAGGACTAAGTTTTCAAGGGAAATCAAGGCTATAGGCGTGGAGTATTAAGGACTAATTTTTCAAGGGAAATCAAGGCTATAGGCGTGGACTATTAAGGTCTAATTTTTCAAGGGAAATCAAGGCTATAGGCATGGATTATTTAGGACTAGTTTTTCAAGGGAAATCAAAGCTATTGGCGTGGATTATTAAGGACTAAGTTTTCAAGGGAAATCAAGACTATAGGGGTGGTTTATTAAGGACTAATTTTTCAAGGGAAATCATGGCTATAGGGAAATCATTTTTAAGGGAAATCAAGGCTATAGGCGTGAATTATTAAGGACTAATTTTTCACTGGAAATCAAGGCTATAGGCGTGGATTATTAAGGACTAATTTATCAAGGGAAATCAAGGCTATAGGCGTGGATTATTAAGGGCTAATTTTTCAAGGGAAATCAAGGCTATAGGTGTGAATTATTAAGGACTAATTTTGCAAGGGAAATCAAGGCTATAGGCGTGGATTATTAAGGACTAATTTTTCAAGGGAAATCAAGGCTGTAGGCGTGGATTATTAATAGGTCTGGATTATTAAAAACTAAATTTTCTAGGGAAATCAAGGCTGTAGGCGTGAATTATTAAGGAATAATTTTTCAAGGTAAATCAAGGCTATAGGCGCGGATTATTAAGGACTAATTTTTGAAGGGAAATTAAGGCTATAGGCGTGTATTATTAAGGACTAATTTTTTAAGGACTAATTTTTCAAGGGAAATAAAGGATATAGGCGTGGATTAATAAGGACTAATTTTTCAAGGGAAATCAAAGCTATACGCGTGGATTATTAAGGACTAATTTATCAAGGGAAATCAAGGCTATAGGCGTGGATTTATTAAGGGCTAATTTTTCAAGGGAAATCAAGGCTATAGGTGTGAATTATTAAGGACTAATTTTGCAAGGGAAATCAAGGCTATAGGCGGGAACTAATTTTTCAAGGGAAATCAAGGCTGTAGGCGTGGATTATTAATAGGTCTGGATTATTAAAAACTAAATTTTCTAGGGAAATCAAGGCTGTAGGCGTGAATTATTAAGGAATAATTTTTCAAGGGAAATCAAGGCTATAGGCGCGGATTATTAAGGACTAATTTATGAAGGGAAATTAAGGCTATAGGCGTGGATTATTAAGGACTAATTTTTTTAGGACTAATTTTTCAAGGGAAATAAAGGACATAGGCGTGGATTAATAAGGACTAATTTTTCAAGGGAAATCAAAGCTATACGCGTGGATTATTAAGGACTAATTTATCAAGGGAAATCAAGGCTATAGGCGTGGATTATTAAGGGCTAATTTTTCAAGGGAAATCAAGGCTATAGGCGTGGATCATTAAGGACTAATTTTTCAAGGGAAATCAAGGCTAAAGGCGTGGATTATTAAGGACTAATTTTTCAAGGGAAATCAAGGCTATAGGCGTGGATTATTAAGGACTTATTTTTCATGGGAAATCAAGGCTATAGGCGCGGTTTATTAAGGACTTATTTTTCAAGGGAAATCAAGGCTATAGGCGTGGATTATTAAGGACTAATTTTTCAAGGGAAATCAAGGCTATAGGCGTGGATTATTAAGGACTAATTTTTCAAGGGAAATCAAGGCTATAGGCGTGGATTATTAAGGACTATTTTTTCAAGGGAAATCAAGGCTGTAGGCGTGGATTATTAAGAATTAAATTTTTCAAGGGAAATCAAGGCTGTAGGCGTGGATTATTAAGAATTAAATTTTTCAAGGGAAATCAAGGCTATAGGCGTGGATTATTAAGGACTAATTTTTCAAAGGAAATCAAGACTATAGGCGTGGATTATTAAGGACTAGTTTTTCAAGGGAAATCAAAGCTATTGGCGTGGATTATTAAGGACTAAGTTTTCAAGGGAAATCAAAGCTATTGGCGTGGATTATTAAGGACTAAGTTTTCAAGGGAAATCAAGGCTATAGGCGTGGAGTATTAAGGACTAATTTTTCAAGGGAAATCAAGGCTATAGGCGTGGACTATTAAGGTCTAATTTTTCAAGGGAAATCAAGGCTATAGGCATGGATTATTTAGGACTAGTTTTTCAAGGGAAATCAAAGCTATTGGCGTGGATTATTAAGGACTAAGTTTTCAAGGGAAATCAAGACTATAGGGGTGGTTTATTAAGGACTAATTTTTCAAGGGAAATCATGGCTATAGGTGTGGATTATTAAGGACTAATTTTTCAAGGGAAATCTAGGCTATAGGTGTGGATTATTAAGGACTAATTTTTCAAGGGAAATCAAAGCTATAGGCGTGGGTTATTAAGGACTAATTTTTCAAGGGAAATCAAGGCTATAGGCGTGGATCATTGAGAACTAATTTTTCAAGGGAAATCAAGGCTATAGGCGTGAATTATTAAGGACTAATTTTTCACTGGAAATCAAGGCTATAGGCGTGGATTATTAAGGACTAATTTTTCAAGGGAAATCATGGCTATAGGTGTCGATTATTATGGACTAATTTTTCAAGGGAAATCAAGGCTATAGGTGTGGATTATTAAGGACTAATTTTTCAAGGGAAATCAAGGCTATAGGCGTGGATTATTAAGGACTCATTTTTCAAGGGAAATCAAGGCTATAGGCGTGGATTATTAAGGACTCATTTTTCAAGGGAAATCAAGGCTATATGCGTGGATTATTAAATACTAATTTTTCAAGGGAAATCAAGGCTATAGGCGTGGATCATTGAGGACTTATGTTTCAAGGGAAATCAAGGCGCGAATTATTAAGGATTAATTGTTAATGAAATAAAAAAGAGAAAATCGAGGATATTGGCATGGACTGTTAAGGACTAAGTTTTAAAGCAATATAAAGTAAGAATCAAGGATATTGTCATAGATTATTAAGGACTAATTATTGAAGGCCTATGAAAGCTCTAAATACAACTAATTTCATTTGCAAATAACATAATATATGTGTAGACATTTCGTCTCTTAAATAACAGCACATTTTCCTTGTCACTGTTGGCTAAGAAAATAATTTATTTTTATGTACAGCACTTAAATTCTCCCACCACCCCAGATTTGTTCTCCATTCCTACAGGATTACACTTCGACTTGTACAATTTACACATTTAATTTATGCTACATGTAATGGTTATACTTTAGGGCCTAATGGTTTTATATTGTTGGGTAGCTTTTTTATGCTGTTGTTGTTATTTTTTATACGGCAAAACCCCATGTTTGCAAAAACAAAACAAAGCAAAAAAAAAAAAGTAGAAAACACGCTTAAGTGAAGACACAAAGAAAATACTTTGGTAAACCTTCATAATTCAATTGTGTATGTGTGTGTGCGAATTATCTTTAAGTTTTTCTTAAAGTCTGCTTATTTACAACGCCGAACAGCGGCCGCAGCAGGAAATACAACTGACTGTCAGACAACAATCGGGAATTAAATTTGTTGTCGCTTTTATATCCGTCGCCGCTTTATGTTCTTTGTCGTTATGTTGGCTGCTTTGTTTTTGTTTTTGCAGGAAATTAAGGGACTTTTGGTTGTAGTTTGGGGTATGAGGTTGCGGATTGTTGTTGTCGTTTATTTATCGTGTTTGCTTTTAATGACTTTAATGTTAGTTGTTGTTTCTTATTTTTTAAAGAAAAATATTTACTCATCCAACTTCTTTTGTTTATTTTGTGTGTTTTTTTTTTTTTTTTTTTGCTTTTTCTTTACAGCCTTTGGTATTGGTAGCATGATATATTCTGGTCTAGAATTTGGTCAATATTTTGAATTAAATCCGGACACGAAGTGTCACAATGTTTTGTTGGCTTTGACACCAGCTACAAGGATGGCATTCATTTTTATTCAAATGTATTTTATATTTTTGAATAATGAGGTAAGTATTGGTTTACAAATATTTCACATTCAATCTTGTTTACTGGGTTTCTATAGGAAACAGAGTTGAAGGCTGAATTGTTAGGGACAAATTTTTGAAGGACTAGGGTATTGTCGTGGACTCATTTTTAAAGAACTATCATCAAATATGGGCGTGGTTTCTTATGGGATATATTAACCATTGGCGTGGTTTCTTAAGGACTAATTTTTAAAGGGCTATATTAACCATTGGCGTGGTTTCTTAAGGACTAATTTTTAAAGGACTATCGCCAAATACAGTCATGGTTTGGTAAGGACGATTACCATTTAGGCGTATTTTGTTTAGGTCTAACTTTTCAAGGATTTTCAGAATTATGTTCGTGCGGTTTTGAGGACTAATTAAAATTATTTCAATATAGAAGGGCTTGGAATTTTAAGGACTACACTTTGAAGGACTCTCAGAGCAATAAGCGTGGATTTTTGAGGACTTTGAAGGATTCTTAAAGCTACACTGTGAAGGACTCTCAGAGTTATAGGAGTGGATTTGAAGGCACTTTTTATTGACATTCATACCTATAGACGTGAATTTTGAAGGACTCTTAGAGCTAAACACGTGCATTTTGAAGGACTCTATGAAACGTGAATTTTGAAGGACTAGGTTTATAAGGGCGTTTCAAAGTTAGGACTAGAAGAACTTTTAATGACACAGATAAAAAATACATTCTTATGATAGAAGACTATATATGGGCCCTGCTTAGGTAGAATACCTTTTTTAGTCAAAATACTTCTATACGCCAAATACCATTGGAATAACTTTTGTAGACGGAAAGGCCGTATAACTTTTTAAAGAATGTCTATAGGCAGGAGGAACTAAAATAAAATCTTCGGTAACATCTTACAAGGGTCGTATATCGACGGAAAATCTTCTACATGACTTCTATAACCTGAAGACATTCAACATGTATTCCATAGCCAAAAACCTTATCATATGGATAAAATATCTTCTACAGGCCTTTTAGATGTTTTGGATCTTTTACAAGCCTTCTTTAGACATCATACCCTTCATAGGTCTTCTCCAGACATAATAAATCCCACATAATAAATACCACAAATCTCCTGAAGGCATAAATTATCCTATAGATCGCCTGATAAATTAGGTCTCCTCCCAGGACTTCTATAAACCGAAAATTAAGGAGATCTTTTATAGCCCTTTTATAAACAGAAGATTTTCAACATGTGTTCTGTAGACAGGAGGGTTTCAACAGGTCTTCTAGAGGCAGTAGTTTTAAAAAAAAAGACCTCCCAGGGGTCTACTCAGAAGAGTATATATGAAGAAAAGAAAAATAGATAGAAGGACTTATATAGGTCTTATATAGATTGCTGTCCCAATATGAATACCCTGTTTTGATAATTTTTTTACTGTTCCAAAAATGTATTCTAATTTTTATTTTCTCTTACATTTTTACAGCAAATCAAAGTGTATCGTTATAAAATCATAGCCCGCTTCGGACTAATGCATATGATTGGCACCAATTTGGCCGTGTGGTTGAATGTCCTGATACAGGAGACAAAACATGAAATTTTAACATTTTATAATCCCGAAAATCGAACATTACGTATATCACATCGAATACCGGGCCATTCAAGGGCACATTCCGTTTTGGCACCATCAGATCCTAATGTTTTGCTAAGAGTTCCACGTGGCTTGAAAGGACCCTATCAAATATTTGAATGTCGTCGTACAAATATATTGGGAACATTAGTGCAAGATGCCTCACCATTCCTGTTCCCCTGTACCATTGAATATTCGTTGATATGTGCCGCTATCCTATATGTTATGTGGAAGAGTATTTCGAGACCGCAAATACCAAAACCACAACGTCCCGATATGATAAGTTCACCAATAAAGCGATCGCCTCACCATTATTCAGTGGATTGTGCCAGGGCACATAAAGGCCTGTTTGTGGGAATTTTGATATTGGTATTGACCATTATTTCGTTGATCCTATTTTTCGTATTGATCTCACGACCGGATTTTGTCGCCTTGGCTGTTATGGAAGTGACAATTTGTGAATTGTTTATTTATGGTACAGCGACAATAGCCACCCTGGTGGGAATGATACAGATAAGGCATTTGCAGTATGATGCCTATCGAAGCTTTTCGTTGGATGATATTTTGTTGGTTGGCGCCCAGACGGGATCATTTTTATATAACATTTTCACAGTGATTGCAGGACACTTTTCGCTACGCAGTGATGATTGGTTGGTGCCACTCAACGCCTTGGCCTCCATTGTTCAGACCGCCTGCCAAACGATGTTCATTTTGGATGCTAGTCGACGACAGGCTGTCACACCGGAACACATTCGCAAAAAACCCGGAAGGGAAATTGTTACCTTTATGTTGGTTGTTAATTTGGCCATGTGGGCCATATCCACGCTGGAAAAGTCACGAGCCGAATCACATCCTATACAGCTGAATTTCTATGGCCTATGGGCATGGACCATTATTACGCATGTCTCCATGCCGCTGGCGATATTCTATCGTTTCCATTCCACCGTGTGTTTGTGTGAAATCTGGAAGCGGGCATATAAACTAAAACCGACGTATATGTGAGAATTAGCCCGTGAGCGCATTGCTAGCATTGCGCAACAACAACAATTTTGTGAAGAACTTAAGACCAACTTATCGTATTGCTATTGTTCGACAACGATCGTAGAGACCATTGAGGAGGCGGATAGTAATGGTGGTAGTGGCGGCAGTGGTAGCGGTGGTGCTAATGGTACCACCACCAATGGCCATGCTGTGGGTAATTGTGAACCATCAGCACCTCCGGCAGAGAAATGTGGTAATGGTTCGGAAACAACAACTGTGGTGCTGGAAGGTCTGGGTACTGGTACTGAGGCCACCGAGGAAGAGGAGACTACCGATAATGAAACTGTGGTAGAAACCAAACAACAACAGCAATCATCGAGAAAATCAAGTGCCGGTGGTGGAGGCGGGGGTAATGGTCGTGCATTTTGTCCAGTTTATATAATCAATGGTCAATGAGTTTATATGCAACTGGAGTACATTGATGCCAATTCACAAAAGGAACTCAGCTTTGTTTAAGCCCGAAACAAAAGCAGAAGGCAGAAAAGCAGAAACAAACCACACAACAACAAAACGAACAAGGCAACAACACCGATGTTATGACTTCGAAGGTGGATTCTTTTGATCTTCTTTGTAGGCATAAGGAATAATCGAAAAAAGGAAATATAAAACAAATATATATCTATCTACAAACAAATATACACAAAACAAACACAAAAAAAACTATGAGAAAGGAAACTTAAAATAAACAAAAAATAAATACTGACCAATTTTGTTGCTCTCTTTTTTGTAAGAAATCAAATCAAGTCAAAATCATCACCAGCTCCTTCTTCATGAAACTCATCTTGTTTAGGCAATAATTTAAAAAAAAACTGAAAAGATAACATTAAAAGAAAAATTAATTGATATTATTGTATATATTATTAATATTAAAATAAAACTAAATATATATGTTTGTAAATTTTATTTAATTATTTTTAAATACTAATGTGAACAAAGCAATCAAAATTTTTTGTAAGAAAATTTGAGATAATTGTTTTTCTATTTATTGAAGACATTCCAAAAATTTATTTAAATGGTATTCTAATGTAATTTATTAATTTTAAATTTACTTTTAAATAAAACAAAAAATTATTTAATTTGAAATGTTTTTTTGGTTTCAGTTAAATGAATTAATAAACTGCTATAAGAAAACAAACATGAAATTTTAACATTTTATAATCATGAAAATCGAACATTACGAATATCACATCGAATACCGGAACATTCTCGAGCCCATTCCGTTCTGGCACAATCTGATCTCAATGGCCTGCTGAAAGTTCTGGGCCACTTGAAAGGACCCTAATATTTTAACTTCGTCGTAGAAACATTGGTGCACTCTTCTTGTTCCCGTGTATTGAATTTTCACAGCTATGCGGCGATGTGGACGAGTATTTACGCGGGCAAATACCAAGGCAGATATGATCATTTCATTTATTTTTTCCAATTTTCGCCCAGATGGTTCTGGGTATATTTTCCTTAAGGGATCAACGATTTGGTGGCCTTTTGATCCATGATTTGTCAGAAAAAAGAGTGGGTTGGAGAAAAAGGAATTACAGGAGACACCTCTCCTTTTTTGCCAATTCTGGCCGTTTCTGGTCAATGGTTATCTTCAAACGATCGAGTTGTTGATTGGAGAGATCAAAATTTAGCGTTTGGCCTTATTCAAGCAAATAAATAATCCCCTTCCAGTCCTACCAAATACATAGCAGAACCTTCCTGATCGTTAGTCCTGGTTTGACAACCGTTTGAGGTGCTTTACCGGTCTTTAACCGCGATCGTTTTCGCACAGGTTTATCGTATGGTACCCATTTCTCATCTTCATTTTAATAAATGAGTCTATCTCACTCCGTTTGGCCAATGCTTTGCAGATGGAAATTCGATCCAGCCTATTTTTCTGTTAATTGGTGTGGCACCCAAACATAGAGTTTCTTTTAGAATAAAGCTTTGTGTAAATGGTTTAAAACAGTTTTATATTCGATTTATCCAGGACGTTGTTACGACTGCTAACATGTCATATCAACATTTTTCCCATCCTAATATATATTACTTGATGTATAAAATTCTAAAGCGATAAAGGAAGAATTTTAAAGGTATTTGATGTTCCGAAAAAATATAAGGGACACCAGTATATATTTTTCCGGTATTACAATGAAAAATGGTCATTTGTATCCCCAAAAATTGCTTTAATGGTTTTCAAATTATTTTCCAATATACATTTCTTCATGCGTTCGAAAACAATTGCCAAAGTATATTTTCAAGTCCGATTAAGATACCTCCAAAGCATTTTGTATGCTTCTAAAGTATCTTCTGGTGTCGAAAGTCTTTAACCACGATTTAATGTCCGGGAATACAAAAAAATAAGTTATTGGGTCTCATGTCAGGGCAGTACGACGGATGACCCATCACTTCTACATTTTTCCGGCGAGCGCTGGTCGTATTGTCATGCTGCACAACGATTCTTATTTCATTGTTTGTTTATTGAATTTCTCTGAAGACTTCAACCATTTTTGCGGTAGAAACAGGCGATCATTTGATTCGAAGTGATATTCCCAGGAACAAGTTGCGTTGGATGTGGTTTGTCTTCGAAGATCTTCTATTTTTTTAGCCTGTTGAGCGATTATCAACTTGAGCGGAATATGACGTTATCAATGCTCTGCGGCATAATTGTTCCTTTTGGTTTACCTTCGAGAAATCATCGGTTGACTGAATTCACTGAACCAGTTGTTCACAGTGCAATAGGACGGTGTTTAATCACCATATAAAGACTTATGTTCTTCGATGCTCTCTTGTCGTGAAAATAATCGTCGAAAGTTGTGAACAAATTTCCCCTAGGCCGTCGTATGATCTACTTACTTACTTGGCTGGCTTGTGACAGAACATTTGTTCCATATGCCGAGCATAAAACTTTTTCCAGACGCGTCGGTCTTGCACATTATCTTTTCATCGAATTCGTTACCTTTTCCTTCTGCGTGATTCTCACGTTTATATGCCTTTTGAGCTGGGGCATCCTCATCCATTCTCACAACATGACCAAGCCAACGAGTCGCTGCAGCTTGATACGTCTGACTATGTCGATGTCCGAGAATAGATGGTACAACTCATGGTTCATTCGATGCCGATATTCACCGTCGCCACAGATCGGCCCGTAGATCTCTCGGAGAATCTTTCTCTTAAACACACCAAGAGTTGCCTCATCTGCTTGCGCAAGTACCCATGCTTCAGATCCATACAACAGCGAGAGGTGGCCTTGTTTCTGAATTGCTTACTCAGACCATAGTAGCATCGGTTGGCCAACACTATTCTTCTCAGAATTTCAAAACTGATGTTATTAGTTTTGTTTATGGTATATATAAAGGTATATATAAAATCTTTGACTACTTCGAAGCTGTAGTTCTCAAGTTCGACAGTTGGTTCGAGTCCACTTGACATTTTGGGCGTTGATACCATCAGCAGGATTTTAAAAATGTCACACGACAAACTGCCACATTGTCTGAATCCTCGTTTGGTATTGAAGGGCTCCGAGAGGTCCTTTCCGACTTTAAATGCTGACCTTGTGTCAGTTAATGTTATCCTTCATAGCCGTATTAATTTAGCAGGAATACCAAAAACAGATATGGCTTTAAACATCTCTGAGCGTATTGGGCTGTGGATTGCGGTAGTGTAGTCGACGTAAAGGTGAAATGTGTGGATATATATTTAGTGGGTCTTAAGTGATGATTTATAACTCTTTCGAGTCGAGCTTGATGATCAAAGTTTTGCAATGAAAAGGAAAGCCAGGAGAAGAACCTACGTACCCACCATTATGCGACGCGTTTAGCCGTTGGTTAAGCGGCTCATCAGGCATATTGGGCTATGTGGCTTTAGAAAGGTCGTACGTTGATAACTTGTATTTATTTCGCCCTGATGCGAATTAAATTCAAATTTGTCAAAGTTCGACATTTGTCTTCATTCTAGGAACAGTGAGTCTTTTTTAGGAATTGGCACAGAGTGAAAATATGGCCTATAGTGGATTTGCCAAGTCTGACGCCGCATTGATAAGATCCAATAATATCATTGACCATTGGCTTCAGTCGTTCACAAAGTACGGTGGATAACATTTTACATGCGGTGAGAAGGAGACTAATTCGTCTACAGTTGACACATATCGCCTTGTATCCTTTTTTGTGCACAGGATGCCGAGGTTATAATCATTGGACATGGATTCTCCTGATCAGCGTCTGACCACTGGTTTTGAATAGTCGGGTGGTAATCCATCGGCACCTGCTGTTTTATTACTGCAATTCTGACCTCATCTTGGCTAGGTGATATACAATCGATACCGTCATCTCTAATTGGTTCTGGGTTATCTTCTTCACTATTACTATTTTGTTTCAGAAACTTTGTAAAATGCTCCTTCGAGATCCTAAACACGCTGTATGTATCTGTCACCAGGTCACCTTCTTCATCTCTACAGGAGGATGTGCCAGCACCGGTGTTTTACTCGTTGGTAAAATGTCCTTATTATGTTTTGTATTTGGAAAACGTTCGTTATAATGTATTTTTTGTATTTTGTATAATGAAGTGTTTTCGAAAGTCTTAATGGTTTTATTTCCTGTTTATTATGTCGAAACGATTAATCGAATATTTGGATATCATATAATTTTTTTATCCACTTTTAAATGTTATTTATTTTTTATCATTATCGTTATAAAAACATTTCACAAAAATCCAAAACACACACACATTAAAATCTCACTACTAAACGAAAAAATGTTCAAATTATTTGTGAAGAAAAAAAAACTTAATGACGGAATCTTTGTACTCAAAAATATAGTTAACGTAACACTCAAAGTATTGGAAATGTATTGAGAAGACGAAGAAAAATATAATTAAATTAATATTGAAACAAAATATATGAAATGTAGAATATGAATCAGAAATCTATCAGTAATGTGTTGTTCTTAATAAACGAAAATGCTATTTGTAGGTACATACCGAAAAAAATAATATAAAATATGAAACTGTTTTTTTGATAGTGTTGTAAACCAGTAAAGCATTTAAAAGCAATTGAAACAATTTTTTTTCTAAAACACAAATATAATATTAAGGAATTAAATTTTGAATAAATAAAATAAATTATACACA